AAAAGAGAAAGTTTAAGTTCAATATCAAAGAAAAGTCTGAAAGCATATACGTCTGATAAAAACAAAAATGTTAAACAATATTTACCAATGTTTTGTAATTGAGCGTTTAATTATTGTCGGTGGATGATTTTAAATGGACTTCAAATATCATAATATATTTTGCTAGTTTAAATGTTCTCTCCATTCCCCAGTATTCACTGAAGAGGCGATTGTACTTGTTAATAATCGTTTCACAAATGCTATTTTGTATCTACGTCTGTTAATTTAAACATCGAGAGGATTGCTTTTGTTTTTTACTTCAATTTATTTTAGACTAAGTTTAATGCTTCTTATGTATTTTATTTAGTATGAAATAAGGTTTTTTTTAAGTAGTGAGATCTAAGATTTTCAAGAGAATTCATTTTTTTAAGTAGGTCTTCAAAAATGTGACAAATATATTAGGTTTTAATTAGTCTAGTTTATTTGCATACCTGTATCAGAGTGTTGAACTGACTATACAAACATTATTTTGACGCCGCGCTAAACCGAAGCGTTACCGCCAATAGTGTTAGTTAATTTATATTTTTCTATCATGCCTTTAATACTTCCAATGAGCCAATAAGCTTAAGCAAGAAATATAAAGCATTACGCATATTATTGTTTCAATATTTAATAATCATTTCATGAAACAAATTAAGAGTCCACTTAATTGAGGACTAAAATTGTATTTACATTTCTGTAATGCTATTTAATTTTGGAATTCCAATGCAACTATATTCGATTCGTAATTTAAAGGAATATAATACAGTGAATACCTCAATAAGCCTAAATCAATAAATCAAAGCTTACATTATCGCGGGTACATTTTGTAAGCGAAGTTGATATTTGTACTGATAAATATATGTAAGTAGTGGAGATGAGTATTTTTTTCAAATGTAAAATATTTAACAAAGTTTTAAAAGAAACAATTCTATAATAATAGTTAAAAACAATATACTAAATGAATGAAACAAAAATATTTTTTAAAATATAATTATTTGATTTCTTATTTTCTGGTATTAAAATTTAGCATTCATATTGTTTGTAGTATATATGATATGATTTGCATAACGACTAATTAAATTATATTTTCATAACTCAATGAGGTCTACAGGATTCATTAGAAAAATAATGTAATTCTATATAATACAAAGCATTGATTTGTATATGTATAGGAAATGATCACAAGTTAAAAACTATTTCACTTAATCAACCCATCCCTTAGAGAGAACATACTAAAACATAGACACGCACATATTTGAATCGTCATCGATTGAAGGCTTAAAATCTTTTAGGGCATGTGCAAAGTTTTGGGTGCATGGAAATGATTTAATTCAATATTAAATCATATATGTAAAATTTTTGTTTAATAATTCTCGAAGACATGACAGCTCAGATATCATATAAAAAAATGTTGCACGTCAATTACATTCTCTTGCAGCTTTCTACCTGAATTTTAAAGGGATGACATTTTAAAAAGATACTCGTTTTTTAATTGTATTTATTTTGTATAACTTGTATTATTCTATAAGGTTTAAGACGGTTACATTTTATACAATATGTTTTGAATTACGTGAACGTGTGTCACTTTTTAGCATAAATAAAGCAACGTTTAAATTAATTGTAATTAACTCTAATCAATGATGTCCAAACGGCTGAAAGACTACGGGATGTAAATTGTTTTAGATAGGCTTCAATCGCTATTTGAAAACAAGTTTACACTTCCATGGAAGCTTGTGGAGCGGAAAATGTACTTACAAATGATATATTAATAATATTTACCAAGTATCGGTATTCGGATGGATGTCAAATTGATATTACAAATACATATAGAATTAATTTCAATTTACATCGACATTCAACAACGTTGTTATTAACCTGTATTTATATGTCATGAAATTGTATTTGGACATGTATTTTACGGTTATTTGATAGTATATTAAACTACGATGAAACTTTGGGAACGACAAATTTGATTAAAAGGATGGTATTTAATTACGAGTATACATTTCGAGAGTCTTGTTAATTTTTCCGGGTAATAAGCCATAGGATATAATATGTTTTATTCCTTGGGCGGGGTTACCAAGAAAGCAGAACTCATAGCTATTTTTCATGAGAAAATTCTTTGGGAATAAGGTTCATTTTTAAGGTATAAAAGTACTTATAGAAATGTGGGCGTGTTAAGTGCATAGGCTGCGCGCGCTCCTTAGTGACGACCGCTAGTGATATCGATGACAGATTTAATTTTAATTTAATTTCACATCAAATTTAAATCATCATTTAAACAGTTTTATTGTTACATATAACAATATAACGACGAGATTCTTAACTTGACGTATAAATTATTATCATTTTCTTAAATGAAACTGTCATTATAAATTTCCATCAAATTAATAACATATATTCCTTACCAATTTATCAAAGTTTATTAATTTAAATCGAGGCATAAAATGTATAGCAAAAAAAAATATATCACAAAATAATATGAAACTTAAGCTCAGACGTATTTAGAAAACATATGTTATAGATATATATGAAATATTTTTTTAAATATAAAATCTATCGATAAAATACGAATTGCATCCTGAAAGAGCCGTCCCACAAAACATCAGTTTTCATTCTGACAGTTGCAAGGTGCAGACGCCGCTCCTGTCGATTTGATAGTCTCAGTAAGTTCATGCGTTATATTAATAATTGCTAATTTATCTTGACCTATGAACGATAATAACTTTTTTCTTATAAAATCTAATTATAATTTAAAAAGAAATAAACTTTTTATTTTTAGATGTTGAATATGTTTTCTAAATAAATTATAAGTTAGATTTCAAACTTATCTAAGTATCTATCTATAGATATAAAGTTTATAATTTATTTGTAATCATAGTTTATGATATTTTATTTTTAATATAATAAGTGAAGCAACAATCATTGAAATACTCGTAATTAAAATACGGCTTGTAATGTGTCAATACAGACATGCCTGCGGCTGACTTTTTTGGCTCAGAATATTAAATAAAAAAGTGTATATCCTTTTGCAAATATTGTGAGTTTCAATATTTTATTCAGTCCATCGAGTGAACTTAAAATGAAATGTTGATAAATATTTACAATATTCACAAACGAAACTTCTGTTTGACGTGTGGTCTGATAGCTATGATTGGTATGTTTCTCTTTAAAATATATTTGGGAAATAATTTTCTCTTCATCCCTTCCGTATAAGATTGAATTTTTTGTATCAGTTAAATAAAGTTGAATTTTGAAAAACATAAGTTGTGCAACGTTTTTTTGACTTAAGTTTCTTGTGTAGAAAGTTGATCTATATAGGATATTAATGCAAATGATGTTTAGATATAACAGATTTTGTTTAATAAAAAATAGAATAAAGACAAACAAAGAAAGGAAAGCTTTACTGAAAATGCGATAGTTAGGACGAGAAGAATCAATTTGAATTTTACGCATATGTAACGGTTTTGCGTTTCTTATTGTGGCAACTCTTTTAAAATAGATTTTGAATTCAAACTAATTTGATGACGACTATTACAGCCAGTCGTTTACAAATTAATAATTGCTTGGGAATTGTTATAATAAAATTAAATCCTTAAGACTAGTTTAATTTTGTCATAAATGAAATAAGATATATTAGAAATAAGATTTTCTGTTTATAATGCAATCCCAGACAGACAAAAAAGCTTCAAATATAGGGCTTCTTTCCTTAGTGAAATAAAATTTGTTATTAAAATTAGAATTTTATTACATAATAGACATAATATATATCTCTTAAACCCCACCATGAATCGAATCTGCGATTACGTTGTGCCTTGTCTTAGACACAATTAGATATTTCTTTAGGTTCTCTTTATATTTTTCAATGTTTGTTTTAGTTAAATATGAAGTATGTTAAAAAGTCGTTTCTAAGTTTCATATAAAAAGCGTTTGCAAATTGTTTATTCATTTCGTATCAATCATGAACCACTTCATTAGTCATCGTATTACAATCTACAAAATGAGTATTGCGAACGGGATACCTCTTAATTTTGTAGTTCGGCACTGAACTAACGGCGTATGAGTTAGGCTCAGTTATTTGTTATCCAAATTAGTGATTTTATTGTGCTAAACAATCATAGAAACATATCAGATTTTTTACGACTGAATAGTTCTGAAAATAATTAAGTGCTGTTGCGATATTTGCTAAGTACGATATTTTTTGTTAATTTTTTTCATTTAGCGGTGTTTATTCAAATAGAAATATATAAGCACTTGCGAATATTGTAAGTTAAAATAAAAGCTAAATAAAAATGTATGTGGCTATTAAATTTGGTGCGTCTTACAATTTCTATTGTGTTTTATAAAGCAATCGTCGATTTATTGTTTATTAGGAAGTATAAACTTGTGCTTCATAATAATAAAAAGCTGTTTTCCTTTACCATATTCAGTCCTTTTTCAAGATTGTATTTTTAATTTTTGTCAAAGCAACTATATATTATAAGCACAAAATCTTTAAGTTCTTCACACACACACACACATCACACACACACACACACACACACAAACATCCACTAGCCGCACACAAGTACACACAACTGAAAACAATGTCTATGCTAGTGCGTAGTTATTGTAACATACCAAATTAAGAGAAAATTAATTTGCTTCCTAACCCCGCAGCGAGGGCGGATGAAGGGTAACATATTTTCATTATTATTTTTATTTTGTACAAAAAGAATTTGTCTATACTTCTGCTATAACACGTATTTATCAAGTGGAAATAAACTAATGGATTGCAATGTTAACAATTTACAAGTGTTTTTTATGTACAACGATTATTATTAGTAAAAGAATTTTTGATTTAAATTTTTCAATTAATATTTGTTATTTTAGCTATGTAATATATTTGTCTAAATTTTAGGTGGAACGGACTGGGTGGTTGTGTAAGGTACCAACTCAGCAACAGGGAATCTTTGAAACCGGTCAAATTTTATATCAAGATGGCAAAGATGACTGATGAACAACGTGTATTCATTGAACTAGTAAGAGATCTGGACATGCCTGGTTTCATTCTTCTGATCTTCTACGTCTACGCGCTCTTTACGTTTTACGTTGTGAGGCGCCGGCGTCGAAACAATGCTCGGATTTTTCGTCAATTACGAAAAGAGATGGAAGAAGAATTAATCGAAGAGACGGACGAATAAGTGATTTTATGTTAAAAATGAACATTCTTATGACAATAAAAAGTTGTAAATATTATCGATTACAATTTAAGATAAGATTTATGTGTAATTATATAGATGTAATTAACAAGAGAAACTGAAAATGGAAAATAAATACTCTGACAAGGAGGTTCTTGAGAAAACGGTAAGATATAAATATTTTTATAATAATACGTATTGTGTTGGTAGCAATTTTAAATACATATATATGGGATTAATTTGAATTATTTTTACTAAATGTAATAAAGTTATCAATGTACATTTTTGAATTATTTTAATTAATATGATGTATTTTTAAAAATGTTTTTTAATGTTTTGCAGGTACGTTGACATCTTGGTACGCTAGTTTACAAAGAATGACTATACACATCGATGCAGCAAAGAAATGTCTAGGTAAGTTTCGCCATTTCTTTTTTATTATTACGTTTTTCTAATATTTTTTAAGTCATCACTGACAATTTGGAGTATCTTACAGGGTTTAAATAGTAGTTAATCAACTGGAGCCTTAAATTTACTTTTCATAGCGTTCCAAAGACATTTTCCTTCTATTTTATGCATTTGTCAATATCAGTTGTTATTTTCACTGCATAAGCTAGTACATAATTCCGTGAAATAATTTTATTCGCTGTTAATCAAAGGGAGTTAAAAAATGAACAAAAAATACATTATTTTCTTTTGTACACGTTTATTTAATGTGTACTTCAGTTCTGCTTTTATTTGACCTCTTTGAGGACGTAATCTGCCAATTGGGTAACAAGGAATTATTATTTTTTGTTTGAGGGATTAAATAAAGCCGATACGCTCGTTGTAATATGTCGGCGTTCGTGATTAAAATGTATTATTTAAAAAAAATCCATGATTAGTTGATTATATTAAAAATAAAATAAGAGATTAAATTTAATTAAATGTAATTTATATTATTATTTTAGTTACAATTATGAAAATAAGTTGTAAATTGACTCTGACGTCATCAACCACTCAAAGAAACATAATTAAGTAGCGATAAGAGGGAACTACTCCCATATATATATATATATATATATATATATATATATATGAGCAAGACGTTTTATAAGTGAGATAATACAATCCCGGTGACGCTGTCAAAGCCAATAGGGCTACTAGTATAGTCAAGTAGTAAAAAAAAAGCAGTTGGTAGTATAGGCAGTCTTTCTGATTATGATCACTCAATGTCTCGGAAGTCTTGTTAAGGAATTCACGAACTTAAACTTTAGTATCAAATCATAATAACATTTATTACATCATAGTAATGTATCAATTTGTGACACTATTTTTGTTTTTTTTTCTCAAAAATGGACAACTATGCATAGATTAATCAGACTTCGGAAGCCCCTAGCTCACTCATACTTTCAACCTAGAGCCGAATACGTATTTTTTAATCGGATGAGTTCTTTTTTCGTTTAATCTCATCAATGCGTCAAATTAAAATATTATATCTACAATACTTCGTGTAGCATTGGCTAGCATTTACTTTCAAAATATTTCATCAGTAATTTGTTATATTAGTTTAATTCTTTATTACAGTACAAATAAAACTAAAATTTTCGGTGTCGTTAATAATAGACTATCTACTGTTTGCATTACCTAAAATATATTTATATTTATTTAAATTACTCATTGTAATTTTTTATAAGTTTTATTGCTAGTTTCACAAACCTTTATTTGAAGTGTTAAACGGAATTGTAATTATATTATTGAAGTTTAAAAATAACTACTTTTGTAAGATTATCGAAATAAAAAAATATGCTTGTGTATTAAAAGGTTGGTATGGAAACCAAAAATAAATGTCGATTTTTCACTACATCTATTAAGATGATTGCTTACTGAGGAAATAGTTAAATCCTTTATCTTTCTTGGAGCGGTCTTGACCATTTTTGTTACTTACTTAAACATTTTCTTTAGTTAATTTTTTCTTCTTGAAACATTATTAGTCTGTAAAGTATACTTATTATTTTAACAATTGTGTTATGTTGTTGTAAAATTAATTTTTAAAACGATCGTTTAAATTAGTGCCTCGTTAATCATAGTCTCATTTGCATTTTAAAATATCCCTATAAATATAACAAGGTAAAAATAATTTATTTTATTATAAGGATATAAATAATTTTCGATATAAATTACTTGTTTAATTGCCAAAAAAATGTTATGCTTATGTTAACAATTTTATAATAATCAATGTTGATGATATCTAGATCGGAGGATTATTACAAATTTATGAAATAAAGTTTTTATATGAGAAGCACATGAAAAACTTACAGAAACTATATTAATAGATACAATCATATTTGTCTAAAATTTCATAAACGACATATCATACATACCAAACAAAATTTTAATTAAAATAGAAATAATGAAGGGCCTTTGAGTACTTCGATATGCAGAGGGATAATAATTCGATTAGTCGACCGTGTATACCATACATTGGTGTTTTAGTAACCTTTTATCATGGCTTTTATCTGCCTGTATGCAATTGCATATATAAAGTAACAAAAATAATTAAATTTAGGTATATCAAATGCAATTTAATGTTATAAAAATTTTTACTGGAAGTTTTCCTTTTAATTTGATTGTATTCTAATATTGTTAATAATTACTGTGGTAATGTTACAGATCAGTTTGTTAATATTTGTATATTACAAATTCTGCAGTTGAACGAAATAGTTTCTATATATACGCTGCATCTGGGAAATCGATTCGTACATGAATTTCAATAAGAGACTTAAATTTGTAATGGTTTTCTGATTCTTGGAAAAGAGAACATCTTAAAAGGGAGTATTCATGAAATCACTTGCACTTGCTTCAGATTTTCAATTTGACCATTGCTTATTTTGAACATTTATTTTAAGATATATTGGTAATATTAAGATAGAACATGTCTTTATAAAGGTCTTTATAAAGCGGATGACATCTTTAAAAACAAGTTCAATGATTTTTTTAAACTGATCTGAAATTTTTAACTTATTACGTAATTATTATTATTACGTAATCAGTATTAATTACTTGATCTTGACTTGAGTTTAAATATTTTTTTTGATTTTAAAATTTTTTGTTTAAAAATCATTATTAAATTAAAAAGCGATAGTTAGGTAACTATAAGGTTATGTATCCAGTTAGACAATTTAAATTAATTTTAGCGTAGATATTTAAGTGGTCCTAGGTGTAGGATAAGGCATTCGAGCGATTGAGGGATTGTAAGTTTTGATAAATAATTTGCTTAAATAGATATTTAAAAACAACCAATTTATTTTTTTATGTTTTTCGCTTATTTCAAAAACAATCTACACACAACATAGTTTAAACGTTTACAACAATAAATAACCTTATGTAAATGTCCTACATAAATATATTTTTTGCAAGTACTTGTGCGTTGGTGAGCAACTTTGTTTGCGGGTGCGTGCGCATGCGCATATTTTTTAAGTAGTCTCTATAGCGGAGAATATAACATGCATTTTTTGTAATTGGACATTCACAATTATTAACATAATATTTACCTAATTTTTAGCAACCTTTTACGTTATTCTGCTTGTTTTAATAAAGATGTTAGCAATATTTTGTTATTAAAGAAAGTTTGTTCATCGTATGTTTCTAATCTCACCCAGTACTTTTGACGTAAAGGCAGACTACAGAGCGAGATGGCCTTTCTTGTAGAAATCAGTACTGAAAAATTTTGCCAAATAAAATAAAACATTAGTTTCTCTAAACCCTAAAGGGAATTGAATGATTTTTGTTAGCTACGTTTCATGTATTTCAAATACTGTATTATTCCCCAAATCTTTTAAACGACTAAAGTCTTTAATTAAAAATTTATAATTTTATTTACCTTGTCAGTTCATCATGATCCGAGTAGTATAGTGATGATCATCAATTTGAAATCAGAGTGAGCTACTATCCTATTGTTATTCTTTTTCATTTTTATTATTATTATTTTAATTTATTTACATTGTATTTGATAATCTGATGAAAGATTAAGTCCAAGATTTGTTTCATTTTAACAACAACAACTATTAAATTTTATAATTTCACTATCGTTATTACGAAACTCATTTACACGATTTTTAAATCTTAGTTGACATTGAAGATGTAACGCAATAGAAATAACATTCCATCTTTAACACTTTTTCTGACACTGACCCACTATGTGATGCCAAGTGGTGCACACTTTAAATAAAATTTCTAATAATAATATAATAAAACCACGTTTATTGACACAACGGATTCTGTCACACTCATAGCGATCAATGGCTAGCGTCATCGATTAACCGCTTAAGTGACGGACGGTTTGTGCAAAAATTACGCAAATCTAACAAAAAAACTGCCCGCACCCAAAAATAAAACAAGCGGTCGTCGCAATCGCAGACGCCGGTAGAACGGTGTGAAACTCCCGGAATACACCGTGCTCTCTGAAAATATTCCGTGGATACGATAGATAGCGCACGCTTCTATACAGAACGGTTAATCATCAAGTAAACAATGAACTATTGAAACGTCAAGATATTCGCTCGATAATAAGTTAGTGTTGGCAGTTGTAAACTGTTTAAAAGTGTAAGTTAGTGTTAATATGTTTGCCGGGGGTGGTGCAGGATTTCAAAAACAATCGAAACCTCCTTGGGAAAATGTCAATTTAAATTCTGAGGTGACACCTAGCTGGTGAGTTATAATTTAATATATATTTTCTATCCTAAACTGCTATAAGTTTTTTAATACGAGTATTCCTTCTTAAATGTCAACAATTACGATATTTTCAAGTGAATAAAATTTTAAGTTATAACTTATTAATAATTTCTATATATATTAATGGTATTATTGAGTCATTTGACTAAAATTCAAAATAGTACATAATAACAGTCATTTCAGAGACGAAATGGTGTCGTGATATTACAAACAAACAACTGATTTGTAGAGTTACTTTAAATAATCATTTCTTAAAACTCCTATTTATTGTTACAATCGCCTCGATTTGT